CTCTCTCTCTCTCTCTCTCTCTCTCTCTCTCTCTCTCTCTCTCTTGCTCTTGTTCTTGTTCTCTCCCTCTCCATCTCTCCTCTCCTCTTTTCATTCCTCTTTCTCCTGTCTCTCTCTTTCTTCTCTTTTGCATTGCTGCAATAAAGCTCTCTTGGTTGCTCCGAGTGTTGTGGTCACTTTCCTTTCATCTTGCAAATTCATTATGTTTATAATGCCTGTAACATTTAAAATAGAATATATTGTTTGGCATAAAGTATTTTCTAGAACTCACAATCACTTTTAGAAGATTGTATTCACATAAAAGCAATTGATTTATGAATTTAATACCACATATCAAACATATATGGTAGTGTTTCCTCCAAAAAAAATATCAACTAAGCAAGACTGGATATGATAGTCTCAACCTCTGTAAACATCAGTGCAATGGACCTTAATCCTGTTAAAATATTCTATTTCACACTGTTTACTAAATCAATTGGAATTTCCCTACAATTAAAAAAAAAAGCTGCTTTATTATAACCTCATCACTATGAACTGCTGTTCTCAACACCCTCTCCTACCTCACATCTTGTAAGGTGACCTGTAGATTTTAATCAACCTATGGAGAATTGTAGGTAAACCTCCTCTTTAAATTCAGAATTAACATTAATAAGCAAACTTTTCTCTATGTAAAACAAACAATCTTGAGCATAAAGAAATCAATTTTGAGGGAAAGACAGCTCATTCACGATCCTCTCCTGGGGAGGAGCTGTGGAAGGTGAGCACCCTGGGCACACACCACAGAAGCACCTGGTGCCCCATGGGAACAGGCTTCTCAGATCCTGTTCCTCTGGGGTCTGGCACTACCTGCCTGGGTGGCTCTGAACCTTCACACCTCTGAGGGCCATAGTAAGCGCCCTGGCCTTGGGATGTGGACTGCAGGCCGGAGTGACTAGTGTGGTCAAAGCCACACCAGCTGCTGCCCAGGGAGACCTCAGAGCAGTTCCGGGTCTTCCCTCACGCAGCCAACGCCCATTGCCCAAGGCAAACACCAAGTGCTTTATGAGAACCAGGGAGAGGCAGGGAGGTGGCCCTTTGTGTGGAAGGGCGGGCTGGGCAAGTTGCTGGAGAGGTCTAACTGGAGCCTGCGCCTCCTCCTGCAGTCAGCTAAACCCCTCGGTTGACTCAGAGGCTTCTGGCATCCACCAGCTCCCTTCCCTCCTCGCTCTGCAGGGACCTCTCCTTTTACACTGCCTTCTGGACGTGTCACCTCCGATACCTTGTTCTTTGGTTGTCTGCCCAGGAGAAAAGTGAATGGAAAATGAACAAGTGTTTGGAGAGTTGTCGTGTGTTAACTGGGCTTCTTTTAAAATGCATGTTTCCATCAAGGACACAACTGGTATTATGAGAGGGAACAATTCAAGTCACCTATTAACAATGGCAGAATGGTTGGAGTCAGCCAGACCCACAGGCCTTCCCTGTGCTGGGTGGCACTGTGAGGACAGAGCACTCTTTGGCTTGTGTGCACTGCCTGCTTGACCTCCCCAGGGATGGGGCATCTCAAATGGGGCTGAGTCCCAGGGCCATCTCTGCACTGCTGCCGGATGTGGACACACTGTGAAATCCTCGTCAAGACTGATCTTGATCTTTTAAAGTAGAGGTTTGTTTTAAAAATTGATATTTTAAAAATCATGTGTTGTTTCTGAATATTTGCATTTCTTTCAGGAAACATCTAGGGAGCATCAGCTGATGGGTAAGGGCCTAGAGTCCAGGGCACGGGGTATTGTTGCTGAGTGGTCAGGGCGCCGTGCAGGGGCAGGGGAGCTCGTGCCTTTAGCCAGGGAGGTAGGGCAAGCAGGCGGTGGAGGACTGGAGCCAGTCAGGAGAGCAGCAGTGACCTCACAGGAAGGGCATGGGTCTGGCAGCAGGTTTGGCATCGACAGGAGGGTGTGTGGAGGAGCCGTTCTTCAGCTGCGCTCTCGACCGTGTGGCCAGGAGAGAGAAAAACTCAGCCTTGAACGCGGTCTACCAAGAGCAAACCTGGGTTGAGCCAGGATGAGACACTGAGCGCCAGCTGAAGACCCCGAGGACCCCCACGTGCTGGGAGTCACCCTTGGGGAGGAGCGCCACACGCTGGCGCGAGCGTACCTGGCAGCCCCTCCACCACCTGACCACAGCACTTCTCATTTACAAAGCGGTGAAGAGTTCAACACAGCAAGAAAGTCTGAAAGACAGAAAACACAGGAGTACCCACCTATTGATGATGAGATACACGCGCCCATTGACTTTGGCGTGACTGTGGCGAGAGGCAGAAGCACAGGATGCAGAAGGAGAGAGAGAGAAAGAGAGAGAGAGACATTAGGCAGAGCAGCATGAGGGCTCTCCTGGCCTCCTGGCCACAGTGCCATCGCCTGCAAGGGTTGGCGTCAGGAAGGACAGTATGAGCAGCAAGAGTGGCAGCAGCACTGCCAGACACACAGGAGTAGTGCTGAGGACACAGTGGCCCTGGCCACTCCACCGCCCGCCTCATACACCCGGGAGGACCATCCCTCAGACTTCTCAAGACAGCTGGTCAAAGGAAAGATGAAAGATGAAAATTTGCTCCTTTCCCAGAGTTAAAAGAGTCCTATTAGGTAACCACAGTCAACGTATTTTCTCTAAGATCTTCTAAAATTTAGGTTCAAAAAAGACATTGCTTTGTTTCTATGTGCAAGACAATATTTTCCAACATGAATCATGGATATGTTGCAGTGACACAAGAGTAATGGGTCTCTAAGGAACTTTACTAAACTGTTACCGGTTACACATTATGTAATCAGCATATCATGGCTTCGCTATAACATCATATTATTGTCGATAGACAAGTGAAAAGACATTCCAGAGGTTCCTCAGTTAGAGTTGATAATAGTTTCTTCTTGTGTACATCATAAAACCGTTTTCAGAAAGCTAACTTTGTAAAGTCTGTGAGGCTAAAGAAAACAAATTCAGCTTTGTACACACACACACACACACACACACACACAGGTGGAGATGGTTAGTTGGATTTTTGATAGAAACAACACTGTTGTGATCAATTTCATGACTGCCAGGGGTTGGTTATTCACAACTTGTGGGCCATGTTTTTTTTTTTTTTTTTGGTAAAGCATCCAGAGAGGTGAGAGTATAGAACAAGGCTTGAATCCTGACTCTACAAACAATTCTGTTTCTCTACCACTTTAATTTTAATTAAAATTGTTCAGGATTTGGGGACAGAAATACTTTAAGGTAAAAATTATTAGTGAGAAAAATACTGCAATATAAAAGAGTTGCTAAAATATTATATATATATAATATTCAAAATTAACTTTTGGGGGCTTTTCTATTGAACTCTGCATGAAACCCCCAAACACCACCTGGAGTGAGTTCCTTAATTTCCCTAAGGCCCTTTTCCCACAGCCCTGAGAGTGAAATCCCATGAGCTGCAGTTTCAGGGCTGTGTTTATACACCCTCTTCTCGTTCGCCCAGTTTTCTTGTACAATTCACTGGTGAGGGGACACTCAGGGTGAGGCCAAGCCATGAGGATGGGAAGTAGGATGGGGTGATGGTCCTTGAGGTCTGCTGTCCCTCTTGTCCTGTGAGAAGGGCAGGAGCTGGGAGGCTGAGGCCAAGGACACAAGGGGCAGTGGCCCCCAAAGCTGCGTAGTGGAGCCCAGTGCACACAGGGACAGGAAGCTCAGTGCAGCACTCAGTTCTCACTTGCGACCTGAATGAGCAAGAACACGGAGGAGCCACGTTGTCCTCTGCAAAGCCATGCTCCTGAAATCTTGCTGAAAATCTGGAAGAAGGTGGCCCATGTCTCCATGTGACCAGGCAACAGAAGACCAAGGCACATGGCAATGGTAAGGCAAGAAGAGCCCTGCAGTCTGGGGGGCTTTGATGAGAAGCAAGCGCTCATGAGAGGGATGTAAAGCATTTAGAGGAAAAAAAATCTAAGCAGGTGACCAGCAAAGACCGACGATGACATCTCTTCCACAATCATGCAAATCTGCCAAAAAGGTTTTCTTAATTATTGGAAGTGATTTTTGAAAACAAGTGGCCTTACAATTACATAAAGCCAGTACATAGCTGGAGTTGAATATCTAATGCTGGTTTCACCCATAGTTATCACATCTATGTCAAAAAATTGTCCCGCTATCATTTCTCTAATTATTGACAGCTGTTAGTCTTTTACACGAGTACTCTTTACAAATTTTAAAACTTAGTGTGATTTTTTCCTGTCAGCAAGACTACCTATGGGGTCCCCAAACTTCTAATAACACTTTATTTTTCCTAGTGTCTTATTATCACTAAAGGAAGTAAGTACACAGCACACAGGGATTCTGAGCCCCTGACCCTGCTCATGAGGTGGGAGATGGTGCAGGGCACATTGGCAGGCGAGACCTCTTGGCCTTCCTGGTTGGTAGTGACTGACATGCTGGCGGTCATCTGGAACACCCTCAGAATGAAACTAAGTAAATCTTAGTTCAAACTAAGCAAATTAGGAAAGCAAATCTACTGATCATAAGGGTTATATCATATTTTCATCATTTCATTCCAGTTCCTGTTAGAAAGTGTTGGAAGGTTAGAATTTCCTGAGAATAGAATGAAATCCTACTTCATTTGCTCCTGGGGTTGGTATACTCTTTTTTTTTTTTTGAACCAGGAATTGAATCCAAGGGCACTTAACCACCAAGCCACATCCTCATCCTCAGCCTCCTGAGCGGCCGTGATAACGGACCTGCGCCAGGGCCGGCTCTGTGTACTCCCACTCAGACAGAACCTTTCTCCCTTCGAGCTCGGCAAGTGTTTTCTAGGGAACTGAATCATGGGCCACACTGGAGCCCCCGAGGAAAAACACCATTAGCGTCCATCAGATGGATGCTTGTCATTTTCCTGTGGCGGGATGGTGGCTTCCACAGACCTTGGTAAGTGTGCCCCGACGACCATTGTAAAGCGCTGACCATCGCTGGAAGGGAGAGCTGCAGCCCCGGTGGGTCCCGGGGCTGCTGAGGGACGAGGGCAGCATCTCCCTGGCGGCTCACCTGTAGATGGTGTTGTCCTCCTTCCTGGGGATGGACTTGAGGTCTGTGAGTTCTAGGAAGCGGTCGTGGAAGTAGTGGAGGTGCAGAATGCACACCAGCAGGAAGGAGGTGGGGATGAAGATGCGCGTGAACAGTTCTGCCACAGTGAACTGCTTCAGGCCCAGATCCTCTAGCCTGGAAGGGACAGGGCAAGAGCAGGAACCTTCTTAGCAGCGAGGACACCGTCTTCTCCTCAGCCACACTAGTCTGTCTCTCTCACCACTGGCCTCACCCCTCTCCCACACAGTCCACCAGTCCCACCCGCCAGGCTTCACCATGGTCCACACAACCTGGACGGGGCCATCTTCCTTAGTTCAGCCTCAGTCCCTCCTGAATGGATCCTTTGGTACCTCTGGACACCTGAAGTATCTCCAGCACTCAGCTTTGAGTCTCCTCTCTACCTGTACCTTCCCCTGGTGATTCACCTAGTCCCTGGGTTTGTACACCAGCTGCACGCCCAGGATCAAGTGTCCACCGTGGCATGGCCTTCTCCTGGGTCCTCTCCTACCCAATCTCTACGGCAGCATGTCTGCTCATGGGTATTTCACATTGGAGGTTTTCAAAACTGTTCTTTGTCTTCCTCTTCTTTGTGTGAAGCCGTTCTCCACCTCCCTGACCCCCATTCATGGTCTTCCGTGGACCAGTAAGTGGCCTAACAGTGGACCCTGCATGAAATCCACAAGTCGGAAGTCTTTGATTCTCTCCTTCACGTCACAGCCTTGGCGTCTGCTTCAGCCTCTTCTGTACTTCCCAAATCTGCCTTTTTTGCTATCTGTCTTTGCTACCTTAGATTCCAGGAGGACCATGGTCACTTCTCCCAGGACCACGGCTACTGCCTGTGAACTGTCTTATTTCTATTTGCATTGCACTTTCTGTCAGTCAAGGATCTTTCAAGACTTAAAAAAAAAAATTCCAATAAGAGGAAGATAGCAGCCACCTGCCCTGAGCCACCAGCTCCTCCCCTCCCATTCCTCCTGGCTCCTGCAGGGACCTTCCTTCCCCTCTCTGAAGGCCCCAGGCCAGCCCTCTTCCCCCTCAGGGCCTTTGCCAGGAGTGCTCGGCCCCCAGACCCAGCTCAGTCCTCCTGAGAAGGTGGCTCTGATCAGCATCAGGGTCAGACGGACACAGTGAGGCAGGCGGGGCCTCTCCACTGCGGCTCCTCTCCACTCAGGGTCCCCTCCCTGGGCCTGCTGTCCCCTTCACACACTCATCATCCCCCACCTTTCACCAGCTGGGGAGGAGCTCACACCCACTGCAAGGTTTTCATTTGTCCTTCTGCTAGAATAGATGCTGCCCGGGTGAGAGGGCCCTTCTGGCTCCCTGCTGCATCTCCAGGCCCAGGGCCCCTGGCAGAGGGGGCCCTGGAGGAGCCTTGGTGAACACACCCTGAGCATGCCCGTCTAGCCCCGTGGGGAGCCTTTCCTTTCAGAGCTCCTCCTTGCCACTTAGGACACAGTGACGGCATCACGTTTTTGCCAAAATCTTCCCTAAAGTTTTTTTTTTTTTTTGAACAATATGCATTCAAATCACCGCCCTCTCCCGGTCACTTCCACATCCCACTGTCACCCAGATCACTTACTTTTCTTTTTTCAATCCGGTCATGTTTTGCCACAGGCCTGGGAAGTTTTCAAATTGATATGTGTATATAAAGATAAGCACCAGCATAGTGTAAATAACCACGGACATCCAAAAATATTTTAGAATTTTCCTCCACCATTCATAGTGCACCTGGGAATCAGATATGGAAAAGCAAAGGAGATGAAGAGCAGTTAGAGGAAAACCCACAAAAGTATTTGGTTTCTTTAGGACAAATGATCATAGACAAAAAAAGGGTCTGAAAATACAGTTCCTTCATTTTTAGTTCTTTCACATTTTGTTTCTTATTTCAGTTGGTGGATCCGGGGGAGAAGCTCCGAGCCCTGTTCTACTGGCCCTGCGGCCTTCGGGTAAGTGTCTGGACCCAGCTGGGCTTTGTCTCCTCCTCTGAAGTCTGCGTCCTGTGGGGTGGTTATGGAGATGGAGTGGACAAGAGGCCTGTGATTCCCAGCAGCCTGTCATATGTCTCGGAGGCACTAGGGAAAGGCAACTGCTGCTCAGAGGTCTGCTCAGAGTACACATGTCACAGCCCCAGGGAGAAGCTGGCTCTCTCGTCTAAGCTGTGGGTAGTCTTAAAGACATCTGTAGTGTATTGTCAAAGTATTTAAAAGTTCATTAGTTCAGGCGAGACATTTTTATCTCCATGTGTGACACATTCTTGATTATTGTTTGGTTTATTTGCTATGGGCCTGAAAGAATACTATACCGTTACCCCCGTTCTCTCACTGGGTTCCCTTCTAACCCCAGTTAAAGCTAGGTTTGTGGAGAGGCAAGCTCATCACAGTGTGATCCTTTATAAATGTTAATGAAACACAGAAGCCTGTGAGGGAGTATGCACATGTACGCACATCTACACACCCACACACCTGTGGTTTTCTTAAACCAAAGCCTGAGATGCAAGCAAACTAGGAAATCCTCCGTTATTTAAAATTGTCTAGACATTGTTCTTAAATTTCTAAATAATCAGGTTTTTTATATCAAGAATTTTTGAAAAAGTTATAAACATTTTTTTCTGACATTTTAAGAATCTAAAAATTTTAAAAAGAAAACCAGTCGATAATTGTGCTTCCCCACTTCAGGAATCTCGGGATGCGGTGTTTGATTTCAGCCAGGACTTGTGTGATCTGTTTGTGGGCTTATAGCAAGCAAGAGCTCTACAAGGAGGCTCATCTCTTCCGGGGATGGGTATGGGAACGGAGGTCAAGCAAGCCATCCACCCACCTGGTACAAGGCCACACAGAACAGGAACAGCACCATGTAGATGATTTTGTACATGACGATTTTGCCCTCGAAGCTGACGAAGAAGAACATGCCACCACACACGTAGATCCAGTACTTGATGAACATGGCCACCACCAGGTTGCCCAGCACCTTCATGATGTCTTGGTCCTCATCCTCGTCCTCCTGCTCCTCCTCCTGTGCTTCCTCCTCCTCCTCCTTCTCTTTGGGCTCTCCTTCCACCTGTATGTCTTGAAGGTCCTCGTCTGAACGGCAGAACACGACATCATTATCCTTCACTGGTTATCTGACCAGCACCTCACTTTGGCCGTGTGACATTCATGGGACATAGGAGCATGCAATTTATGAGTTACTATATGATTTAGACTGTTCTGTTATTTAATCATTTAAATAACCTAAAATTTAAGAGTTGAAGCCAAATATGATCGATTTAAATTAGATTTACAGAACGATTATAGTTTCAGTCTAAAGCAATTTTATGTATTGGAATTAAGAACACTTCATCTTGCTTTAAAATACTGTAAGATACAGGATTCATATCTGGGTTAGCAAGGATACCTACATTTGAGTAATTTATTCAAACAACCAGTAACTCAGAGTGCAATCAGACCCATGGTTGATCTCAAATGAACCATTTACCAAAATCAACTGGTTGATCATTGTGCTCATCACACATTGGAACTCATATAGCAAGATTTGAGCCTGGTAGACAGACTTATTGCTGGAAAACACCTCGATGATTAGGGCTAATTATATAAACATGGCAGCTGGCCTGTTTCCTGGCGGTGCCTGGGTTAAGGTGCAGCCCAGCTGCTGTGAATGCTAACAGCTGGGGTTGGTCCAGAGCTCTGAGGGCAAGTCCTTCCCAGTTACCTACACAGCAGGCCCCAAACCACAGGGATACTAAAAGAAGCTGTGCTCTTCCCCCCACCCCTCACTCCCTCCTTTTCATTTACTTGGTAGGGTATTATTTTCAGAAAAGAATTTAGACAATGCCAGTTCGTTTCTAGGTTCCATTTTCATTAAAGATGAGTGAGTCCTTGGAGAAACCATGCAATTTGGGGGACCCTTAGTTTCTTCTGTGGGGAATCACTTTGGGGAGATCCAAATGAACAGTTTTTAAAAGGCCTCTGTGAACTCTTTGAAAGTTACACATTATAATGTTGTATTTATTGATTCAAGTTCAAATCTGGCTTCCATTAATCAGGGTTTGTTTTGGTAATGGCTTTATTGAGATGTAATTCACATACCATGCAATTCAGCCTTTTAAAGTGTATCACTCAAGGACTGGGTGTAGCTCAGTGTGTAATTTCCGACACATTTGGGGCTCTTTATAACGCTGAGCTCAAGAAGTTGCGGTCACACCCTGTCCACACAAATTTACCTTTCTCTTCATTTTCCTGACTTCCAATTTTGACTTCAGACAGGAGAGCTTCCTTTTCCTGAAGAGCTTTCTGCTCTGTGAGGTGCTGCCTCAGCAGGAGCCAAAAGGTGATAGTGAACAGAATCTGGGACCAGGGAAAAAGCACAACAAGAGTTAAGCACAAATCTGCAGCCTAAACACACTTCTGCAAATACACCGTTTTCCGCACTGTCCCAGTGGGAGCATGACAAATAACCACCATGGGTGAGATGGTCAAGGTGCCCTTGGGTTTGACAGAGCTGCTGCTGCTCTGCAGTGGGGACTCTTAGGCAGGTGTCCAGGGCCAGCAGAATTCTTCAGCACTGTGTGGCCCTGGGAGGAGAAGAGCCAACGAAGGCATGGCCACCTGGCAGGACAGCAGCGCCAGCACCTGGGTCCCTCCCGGGGCTTGTCCTGGAGTGTCTGCCTGACTGTAAGGATGCTGCCAAGTGAGGGGAGGGTCACTTCTCCTGTGACACCCCTTTGACCCCCACAGTGATCCTTAAGAATGCTGCAGATGGGAAAAGAAAGTTCACCCCGGAAAACACGCCCCTGATTACTACCACTCCCTCTGGTGCTGAAGCAAGAGGGGACCCCTGCGCCCACACTACCTATCAGCATTTTCCTGAGCACTGAGGGAAAAGGTGACCCGTGCCTCACTCTTAGGAAATCTGGAACTTGGTTCCTGGTAGGGTTTGTTTTGGTAATGGCTTTATTGAGATGTAATTCACAAACCACACAATTCACCCACTTAAAGTGTATCACTCAAGGACTGGGGTGTGGCTCAGTGTGTAATTCAGTGGGTTTTGGTGCAGTCATAAGGTTGTGACTCTGTTACCACTGTCGTAATTGATTTAATATATATATATATAAAATCAATAATATAATAATAATTATTATTATTTTTTGACACTGGGGATCAAACCCAGTGCCTCACTCATGCTACACAAGCACTCACCACTGAGCCATCCCTCCAGCCTGAAAACTGTTCAATCTCCTCAAAAAGAAGCACCCGAAGAGGGACCTCCTCTTCTTCCTGTGACTCTAGTCAACCAGGGATTTCCTTTTTGCTGTATGGATTGGCCCAGCCTGGACATTTTAAGTCAAGGCCTTGTGTAGCCACCTCTCAGCAGTGTAGGTGTACTCCTGTTGTGGCTCGCACGGCCCTGCGTTCCTCCTCCTTACTCCACACTGCTCCATGCACAGGTGCACACTCTGCACGCATACGTGTGGGCTGACAGGCACGTGGGCACTTTGTTTCATAGCTGCGATGGCGAATGCTGCCTGACCACTCAGGCCTGGGTTTCTGTGCACCTGTGTCTTCCATTCCCCCGGGTGAGGGCCTTGCTGGTCTCATGGTGATTCTGTGTTTGACTTTTTAAGGAACAATGACTGCTGAACGTTTTCCAGGTGCTGCACCAACTTACTTTCCCACCAGCAGCGCACACATCCCAACGACCTCAGTCACACCTGTTGTCTTTTATTATGGCCTTCCTGGTGGCTGGGAGTGATAGCTCTCATCGTAAGCTTTTTTGTTTGTTTGTTTGTTTTTTACATAAGAAGGCTTTATTTGCAGGGGAACAGGAATTTAACCAAAGGGCCCAGATCCCATGTCATCAACAGCCTCCTCAGACTCCTCCTCGTCTCTCCTCTCCTTTGCTGCAGCAGGAGCTGCTGAGCCAGGGGCGGCACGAACAGCCGCAGCCACACCACTCTGCGGGTACACGGCAGGTTTGCCAGTACCAGGCTAGGACAGTGTTTTTCCATGCAGCTCACTGATGACCTTGCTGAGCAGGCCATCATCCACCTTGAGGCCCATGCTGTCCAGGATCTTCTGATGTCCTTGGTGCAAGGGGAGGAGGTGCCCCTGAGGGTGGCCAGCGGATAGGAGTGACAAAGTGCATGTCAGCGGTGGTGGACTGGCCTCCCGTGTGCAGCCTCGGTGTGGCAGGGAGCCTCATCGTAAGCTTTTAATAAATATTTGCCAAAGAAATTAAAGAATTAAAAAGGCAAATGAACAAGTCATAGCTTTGTGAATATAATAGAACCCCTAAATCACACACAATTTTTTTTTTTTTGGATGCTGGGGATGGATTTTCACTTAGGGTAACTGCCCATTTCACTCTCCGTGGGGCGTTCACATGAACAGGCAGCAGGAAGTCCTGCTGAGCATGACCAGGACCCTAGGAAGTCAAGAGCCAGACCACCTGCGATTCTGAAAACCTGGCATGAAAATCCTGGAGGGCGCCAGGAGTTGACCACGGCAATAAACAGAAAGGAATCTGCTTCTGTCACCTGTGTTCAGAGAGGTCAGCAGCAATGAGGCCAGGTGGGGCACCTGTCTGGGGAAAGCATCCTGGAGGCCAGGCTTTAGAAGTGGGGTCAATGCCATCTGGGGGCCAGGAAGAGACAGGCTCCAGGATGCTGCAGACCATGCCATCTGTCTGGGAGCCTGCAGAGCTTCTAGGATGGAGGCCTGATCCTTCCTTTCTCTCCTTACCCAACCCTGACTCACCAGCACTCTGTAAAGTGTGCTTAGAAAAGTATTTGGAAGACATCATTATGTTGGAGGGTCAATGAGCCTGTGTCATTAATGTCTTTGACAAAAATCTTGCTCTTTTCCCCCCCTTTTTTTTTTTAAAAACCCCCAGTTGCATTAAAATATAAATACAGATCCTAGCTTCCAGGAATTAGTGTTTTTTAAAAAATTATTAACAAATTTAATCACCAAATAACATTTCCCTTCAAAGAATTGTTAATTCTAATTAGCCAGGAGGGAGCTCAGCTAGGGAGTTGGTGCTGTCTGTTGTCTTTGAGAGTCCGAATCAGGTTGTGATGAATTCACACAGTCAGTGAAGGGAACGTCTGGCCCACACACAGGAGATGTTGTCTTGCCTCTCCTGCGGGCTTGCACCTGTTAGGAAATTTTTCTTTTACACAATAGCCTTTTGTCAAAAACTGTCACAGGATCAATCTCTGCCCAGTCCAGTCAGCCCCTGTCTACAGCCAGCTGGGATTGGATAGGGGGTGTCTGGTGACCTTCACGTGGTTGCTCCCCCAGAAGGTGAAGTTCATGGGCGTTACCTCAGCCCTCTCCAGAGACACAGATTTTCCTCATCTTGTGGAGAGCAACCTTCAAGGCTCATGGAATGTCCAGACCTGATTGATTTTACTACCTCAAGATACAGGCATCAACCAGAGATGTGTATGGCACCTGAGAGAACGATCAAGGCTTGCGTCGGTGAAAAATGTCCCTTTATTGAGGCAGCTCTGCATATTTATAGAGCCGGGGGTGGTCTGACAGTTGGCATGAGGTGCTTTTTGATTGGTGGGTAAGGATCAGGTGAGCTAGCAGGGCTAGTCTGATTGGTGGGTAAGGATCAGGTGAGCCAGTAGGGCTAGTCTGATTGGTGGGTAAGATCAGGTGAGCCAGCAGGGCTAGTCTGATTGGTGGGTAAGGATCATGTGAGCCAGCAGGGCTCATCATTGGACGGCTCTTCTTGGGAGATGAGGAAGTTAGTCTTTGCAGCCAGGGCGACTCCCAACAGCACCTACCATTTTGTTAACAAAAAAAGATTATAAATGGGGTCTCCCAACCTTCTGAAATAAAAACTATTGAGACAGCCAGTGAAAATAAATGAGCCAGGAAGAGATTATGAATGTTCTGACCACAGGTGAAGGCAAATCAGTAGAGGAAAAAAAAGCAAGTGTCATATTTAATTTTGCTACTAAGAATGTGTTTTAGCACAGGATTGGAGTAAACACATTGTTAATAATAAATGCTTAACTAAAATAGCAATGTGCTAATCAGTCAATTTTACAAATTAATAATCAATCCAAGAAAATCCTCTAGCCCCTTGAGATATTTTATATTGTATTTTTCTGTTTCACATTGTATGTTCCTATTTTCATATCTAATTACTATCATATGCTAAAAATAGCTTATACTCTAATTTTTCTCTGAGTAGAAAGTGCTAATATTAATAAGCTAACAGCATGGTGTACTACATGCTAAATTACAGCAGCCTCTAAGCAATGTAAACTATTTCTCACAGGTTCGTGTCTGTTAATTTCTGCAAAGGAGTGAATATCTGGAGCCTAGTGTTATAAGGTTTGCTCATGTGATGATTGTGATCAGCACGGTTCTGTTTTCTTGATTTTCCATTCACTTACCTTTGATGCAAGCTCTCCTGGCTCTTTCTTTTCTAGAAACCCCGGGACCTTTTTGATTTCTGGAAGTTCAAAGCTCCATATGTACTGCAGCACCAACAGCAGGTTCGCGTAGACAACCATGAAGGGTGAGCTGATCATGGCGTACTTCCTCCTGTTGCGGATCATCCACAGGGCGCAGGACCAGATGAGCAGCACGAAGGTCAGCCAGCTGTGGTAGGTGATGCTCCAGGCCTGGGGAGAAGGGAGGTACCACGTGAGCGCAGTAGAGCACATAGCGGACTGAGGGGGAGAGGCCCGCCTAGGCTCAGGCTCAGAGTGGAGGCCAGGGAGAGGTGCTGCGAGGGTCCTGCCCCAGAACCTCCAAGGCAGAGTCAGAGGCCCTGCATGGTGCCAGCGTGCTCCCTCTGCCACCAACCAACCTCTTCATTTTCACCCTATTTTGCAGAGTCACAAACAACTGTAATGAGCTATCTAAAACTGTTAGTAAAAATGCATGATTAAAATTAAATTAAAATTTATTAAAATCACGTTAGTAAGTGACAACTACAATGGTCTGAATTATTTTCCTGAAAATATTATTCTTATGCAAGAGCGTTCGCCAAAGATCAGGTGACAGCTGCCGTGTTTGTACTCTATGCACACTGAGTGAATTTGTATTCAGTAGTGTGTTTGAAGCTTCACACTCACACACACACACACACACACACACACACACACACACACCGTGCCAAGCAGATAGAATGTTGCCATTTTTGTATGATACAGGAAAATTATCTTTAAGATAGGAGGGTCACAAGTTTGAGGCCAGCTTCAGTAATTTGGTGAGACTCTAAACAACTTAGTAAGACCCTGTCTCAAAATAAGAAATAAAAAGTGCTGTGGATGTGGCTCAGAGGTAAAGAGCCCTGCCATTAAATCACCAGTACCAAAAAAAAAAAAAAAAAAAAGAAAAGAAATAAAAAGAAAGGAAGGAAAGAAAGGAAGAGTCTTGGCCTTTCAATGCCCAGGCAGTTCACTCCGGGTTTCCATAGTTAGGAAGAAGAACCCTGTTGTGCTGTTTACCATGCTGAGTTCCAGGGCAGTTGGGCTGTTCGGCCTCTGCTTTATAATTCCTTAGTCAACACGTGACTCATCTCATGGGCTCCTTGGGCCTCTGCCTCCACCTGTGATCTGGAAGTCACAGAAGCCAGGCTCTTTCACCCAGCAACACTGTGCTGCACTCAGACAGAACAGGCGCTAAGGACCCTGGCACCTGGAGGAGGCTCTTGAGGCCCTGGGAGTGGGGGGACCTGCAGCCCAGGCGGAGTGGAGCCTTCCCTGGGCCAAGGAAAGACTTACCTCCAGCTAGAGAGGGTATTCATATTAAGGAAGGGCTGAGAGAGTTGAAAAGGACACAGTTTTGCAGTCTACAGTATAAAAATCCCGTGAAAAATGAACGCGGCCGACACTGTCAACCCGGCACTGGGAAGACTGAGCCCAGCCTCTGGCGGTGCCACTCACACGCACCATCATGGCGATGAGGGCGCAGATGTAGCTCTGCTTCATGATGAACTGGAACACGGAGACCATGGCGTGGACCTTGACACTCCTCTTCTCCTCCTGGCTCCTTTCCTCCTCAAATTCTTCTTTCTCATCCTCTTCTTCCTCTTTCTTCTCTAGATGAACAAACGCGTTACGTAACTCTCGATGCCAACGCCCGACATCTCTTGTGAGTGTCCCCAGGGATGGCACTCCTGTGGCACGTACGGCCTTTAAGGGAGACTCGAGGGGTCGTTCCCAACTAACATTCCGTCAGCCCTGCTTGGCCAGGGCCAAGGCACCCAGCACCCAGCACTCGGAGGGAAGACCATCTCCACAAGTAGCCAGTAGCTACACAGCAGGACTTGGACACAGCCCCCCAGGGGAGCCTCCAGCAAGATGGCAGCCCCTCACTGCAGGCTCAGGAGCAACCCAGGTGCAGGAACCAGCCCCTCACCCCGGACCCTGACCCAGACAGGGGTCCGACTGCAACACTAAATGTGCTACATCATGAAGCAAATGTCCTTCCTCTTTGTTTAAGTTAACTGGGCTGCACATAAATAGGCTACCGCAGGGGACTTCTGTCAGCAAGAAGAGGAGGCACAGACCCTTGAAAACTCAGGGACCACCTGCACGCCCGTGCACAACCCTGAATGAGACATGCGCCCTGTGTGGCTGGTTTACCTGTCGAGTCCTCAGAGGGCTCCCACCGGTACTGGGGGGTGGAGTACAGGTCGGTCTTGGCGGGGCCATTCTCTAAGGGCAGGCTGGGGTGGATGGTGTGGTAGTCCACAGGGTTGCCGTTCACCGTCACAAGCAGGCCCTGCGGGGAGCATGGGGAAGGACACCTGTGACCACAGGGTGGGTTGCAGTGTAGACCTACTTCCTCCCACCCATCCTCCATGCACAACCCCCAGTGACAAGCTGACTGAAAGCCGGGTGCCACGGTCAATGACACGTATTTTAGCAGGAGGAGTCAGGTACCATCTCTCCAAACCTGATCTCAGAGTGACCAGGTGAAATGCACACCTGATCTCGTGGCACGCCTGTGAACCGTGCGATGCACGCCTTGTTCTCAGGATAGACTGCAACTGTCCAGGGGGCCTTCCTGGTCTGGGCTGACCTCTTCAGGTTCAGCTCTTGCCACTGCCCACCTCCCAGCCACCCCTGGTTGTGTGGTCCTTCATGCCTTCCCTGCCCAGCCCAGAGAGTGGGTCCTACCCACTCTCCACACAGCTCTGCACAGGGCAACTGCAAAAGTCCTTCTGCACCCAGGTGAGATGCTCCCTTCTGGGCTCTCTGCCCAACTGCAAGGCTGAAATTCACTAAGTGCCAACACTGGGATTTTCCCCATCTGTCCCTGTGGCATTAAAAGTTCTGAGATAAACATATAAATACATGTATGTGTATCTCTGAACATGTAAGTCTTCCTTTTTAAAATTATTTAATAATTAGTAGAGCTACAGAACAAAATCCTTAAAACACAACCCCAAAAGCAAGGCTTTAAAAAAGTCTAAATATATTTTGTATTAATATATTCAATCTCATGAGTCAACATTTCACAGCAACAAATCAGATATAATTTCTGCAAGAAAAAAATTAAAAGCATACGGAGGTTTCATGAAAGGAGGTCATTTCATTTGTCACTTTTAAATCACTCACACACACACACAAAAAGGGTAATTCTAAAGAGGTACTAACATCAGATGGTTTGTAGTCGTCTTGGGTCATGGATAAAAGCTGCAAAAAGCAAAGCAGGACAGCACGTTAGCAGGTGAGCAGAAGCTGACCGCGTCCACAAGGCCCCACACCCGCTCTCCAGCCCGCTGAGTGCTAGTGTGCGTGGAAACTGCCATGTGAGTACAAAGGGCCACTGCCCGAGCTGGACACTGCTCATCATGACCATTTTGCAGCATCTGAAGTTTGCTTAGGACCCTGACCACAAACAGCCAACTGTGAATGTGCATGCACTTTCAAGTGTTTCAAGTGTTCTGTTCTAATAGAATACACTGCTTAGGTTAAGCTCTGGAACCCCCTGGGACATCTGCAGAATCCTGAAACTATTTGCTTTCCAAGAAACGCAAGTTTCTTACTACAATAAATTAGATAGATGTCCACTGAGATTTGAGATTACTTGGGGTTTATAAATTGTCAACAAGGAAATCATCGTGATATGACTGATCTTTTAACTGCACTAGTGCTGGGTGACTGGGGCTTCCCCAAACAACATATAGCACGGCGATGAGGTGGTTAGGTTTTGGAGTCAAGACTCCTCTACAGTCTTGGAAAGCTCGAGGGTAGGGGGACATTATGTGGCGTCTGCCACCATCTCACACTAGAAATTCAAACTGAGGCATGTAAAAAAAAATGTTTATTTATCAATTCAATAAAAATTGAAAAGCCCATTATATTTTATGAAAATTGCTCAAATAGCTTTTAGACACTATTTTTATTCTAGAAGCCCATATACTGAAAAGACTGTCACTGTTCTGTACTTTGACACATCTCTTCCACGTCTGGTTCACAGAGGGCCGCTGGGTTTCTGCCTGTGCTTCTGCTTTTGTTCTTGTGTGCTGTGTTGCTTGGATTAGAATATCAAGGAAAGCTGGCCTCACAGAGCAGGTGGGTGGAAGAGCAAGGAGCATTTAATAGTCTCTGCAGATAATGAGGAGGAGTCCTCTCCCAAGCAACGAGACTCAGCCAGTGGTAGTTTCCTGAGGTCCTCACAGCATGGGCCTGGAATTACAGTGGAGTATCCTTCCCTCTGCTGTGAGGGCCCGCGGCAACGGCTGCACCAGAATGGCTTCCTGCCCCTGCCTGGTGCTGCCAGCCACAGGGACACCAGCTCCACCAAGTACTGACCCGGTTGAGTGACATTTGAAGAGCACATTAAATATTTAAATAACATTGAGATACTGTGTAACATTTCAAAAACACGTGTGTTCAAAAGCCATTTCAAAAAGGACTCTTACAAAAAGTCCTTAAATGTAGCGTTTTCAAAGTCTCATTGGTAGATACAAGTTTTCCAAAATTTGATTTTTTTTTTACTCAAATGTTGAAGTTTTACAATTGGCAATAAGCTCTGCCAGTTATTTGCCTTGAAGTGTCCCGCCTGCTTCATTTACTTGCAAAGTAGTTATCTGCCAAATATCTGGGTCTGACCAAGCAGGTCTATCCATCACTGCCCCGTGGAGCGGGAGGTGTGCTCTGGGGACAGCTGTCACAGTGCGTCGGCTGGCCTGTGCTTTCCCTCTGTCAGTTATTAGATGGTTTGTGGCACATCATGCAGAAGGCCTATTTTGTCACAGAGAAAGACGTGTGCTTCAAGCTGGAAACTGAACAAAATTATCATGGTCCTTCGTTACCTGACAAAGGTGCATACCCCAGAAGCACACGGTGAGGCCTTTGCTTGCTGTGTGAGTGTGTGAAGGGTTAATCTCACAAACTAGCTGCCCTGTTCGGGGTGTCGCTCCTGCCTGTTCATGATGTCACTGAGCACAGCAGACATCCCCAGCACAATGGTGTGACCTAGCACCCAGGAGCGTTCTGATAGTCTGTGCAGACAGTGAGGAGGACTCCCCTCGGGTGCAAGCCCAGATTCAGCCAGTGGTAGTTTCCTGAGGGTCACAGAAAATGCGCAGCTAAAATGTGGTGTGAAAGACAAAATGTGGGAAGGATGCTGGTTCTGCAGGACCGGGTGCTGCCTGGTGGCCACAAGCCGAGGGGCGCCAGGCCCAGGACTCCACGGGCGTCCCCTGGGGGACAAGCCCGCACACTGAGGCTGCACCAACTGACTTGGTCTTACAAGAGTGCTGGTGCACACTGCGTGAGCAGTGCCAGGCCATGACCCACAGCCTTGTCTCGGGGACAGAGTGTCGGTCATCACAGTCTCTCAGGGTCACAGTGCTATCTGTGGACCGTCAGTGCCGGGGACATGATGATGTGCCATGTGGCTGGAACTCACTCCTCTGGCTCATCAAGGACACTCAAGCACATGGTTGGCCTTGGGGCCTGATGGATGGCCGCCGTGTGGGCGGGTCTGTGCAGGCCCTGGCTGTGCCCTGGCAGGGCAGTCTCACCCCTGCTTTTGTATCCCCAGGCAAAGCTCCTCATTGTAGCCAGAACTGGCGTTCCATGCCCTTGAGGACTCCTCCCAGGGCTCAGCGTCCCCAGAGGCTGGGTCCTCACGCTGGAAGTGGGGACCGTCCTCTGTCTCTGTCCATTGTTTAGTGGGATGGACAAGATAATCTGGCACAACCAGAGAATAGCGTCCCTGAAAACCCCCAGATGTTTTATGCCTGCCCCACAGTGCGGTCAGTCCTCCCGGCTCCTCCTGTCCTCCCGGCCTCTCAGCACAGGACAGGCACGCTGACAGCAGGCCCAGGGTCTTAGGGAAACCCACCTGCCACCATATACCAGAGCCCCTCCTCTTCTGGCATGCTAGGAAGCAAAATGCTGACCCCATCAAGAATGATAAAGGACCTGTCTCCACAGCACTGCAAACGGGTGTCAGAGCAAGCCGACAGGGCACTGATGGAGTTCAAATGGCCAGTCAACGAGCAAAGGCGTCTGAATTACGTAGCCGTCTGTCACGGGCGTTCTGGGGGCTACCCCTGTGACCCACTTTTCCTTGTCCATACACACAGCTGCCTCAAAGAAGGGAGAGGTGTTCACCACACATGCAGGGAGCTTTGGGTCTTCTCCGGGAGGTTCTTGAGTGACAACTGTGGCCGGCTACTCCGGGGAGGGAAATTATTTGCAAAGACGTATTCCAACACTGAAACTTTCAATCTCCAATGCCACAGTGTCCTTCCTTACTTTTTGTTTTTTGTTTTCTTACTTTTTGTTTTTTAATCTCATAAACTAGGAGCATTAAAAATTAGGAGCATTCTTTCTTTGTAGAATTGAAGCAGTCAGAGATGTGGTGCTTTCATGGGGTCTAACCGGACCCAGGTGTGGAGTGCTGGTCCCTGTCTGAATTCAGCTCTGCCTCCAAGTCCTCTGACTCAGGCTGTTTCTAGGAGCAACCTGAGCTGACATCTGCTATGTGAGGTTCTCATTCAGCAACAGAATGCACACAGGAGACAAGGCCCAAGCTCACCTTCCTCTCGTCGGTTGGGTACTGGGCTGCGTACCACAGGTTCCGCTTCCTCTCCGCAGTTCTCTGGTTGGAGCTGCAAACCAGGGATCTGTCCTCCTCCTTGGTCTTCTCGTCCTGCACCTGAAACAGTCACAGAGACAGATCTGCCTCTGTTATGGTGTGGATGTGAGGTGTCCCCAAAAGCTCACGGGATGAGACATGCAAGAAGGTTCAGAGGAGAACCGATTGGGGTGCTAGAGCATTAAACCCAACCAGTGAATTAATCCCTTGATAGGGATTAACGGGGTGGTAGCTGAAGCAGTGGGGTGTGGCTGAAGGTGGGAACTGGGGCGTGGCTTTGGGGTATCTATTTGTGTCTGGCAAGTGGAGTCTCTGCTTCCTGATCATCATGTGAGCTGCTTCCCTCTGCTGCACTCTCCTGCCACGATGATGTCCTGTTTAACCTTGAGTCCTGAGGAGTGGAGCCTGCTGCCTATGGACTGAGACCTCTGAAACTGTGAGCCCCCAAATAAATTTTTTGTCCCCTAAAATTGTTCTGGTCAAATCTTTTAGTAGCAACAGCAAAAAAGCTTAGACAGAAGCAGATCTGGGTAGCCTGCTTTGTATCTTTGCCCCACGTGATTATTTTTCAAAGTTAGTGTATACTCTATAGGATTTGATCAACACACTCTTAAAAATCACAAAAATGCTCTCCGGTACTCGACAAGAATGTCAAAGTGAAATGGTCCCTGATTCCCACGAAGCCGCACGTCCCACGACATTTCCCGGCGTAAGCACTGATGGCTTCCCAGTGTGGACCTGCATTGCACTAGAAATAGCCGTGCTCCGGGGCCGAGCCTTCACGAGAGGGCAGGGCTGCTGCCAGCACAGGAACCTGTCCCTAAGATGGTGTTGACAAAGGCAGGTCCTGCTGACGCTCACAGGTGGCGTCAAGCAGGAGCATACCTAGTGCCACAGGAGCACACCTGTGGCCCTGCCTGATGAGGCGCCCGCTGGCCCTGTTAATGGTGGTGCACAGGACGGAGTCAGTGTGAGCAGACAGCCGGTGCTTTGGTATGTTTTCCCAACAAAGGCGTCCCCACAGAGGGGACATTAGCACATCACCAACCCTGGAGTGGGGAGTGTGGACATAGCCTTACTGCCCGACATGGGGTTCCAGTGCGCCAGGCAGAGCAATTGAGTGGAGCATCCCCGCTCCCCGGCCTGGAAGAGCTTTGTGCAGGCAGTGCCTGGCTTGGGCAATTCTGCTGCACAGCTCAGGGGCTTCCCAAGGGGGCTGAGACGGGCACCAGCAGGGATGGGGCTGTACCATGTGTTGCGTGCCTTAGGCTAACAGTGGGTACCCAACCACCACTGGTTTCATTGTGTGACAGTGTCCAACAGATATTCAGCACTACATACAACGGGCTTGTAACAGGTGATTTTGCCCAGCTCCAGGCTAACCTGCGGGTTCTGGCATGTCTAGATTGGCTGGGTCCTGTAGGGTGCTCACAGGTGGCAGGCACCTAACAGCTTCTCTGACTCCATGGCATGTCAGTTTGTGAGGCCTCCTGGGGGCAACCCTGTGGCAAGTGCAGGGGCACTGGACACATGACTCCCAAGGTCTGCTTCTCTCCCACCCCCAAACACATCTGACGGGCCTTTACCTGGGCACGCACTTCTGGTGGCTGGCATTTTCCACAAGGTATGCCAGGTCATCTGGAACTCTGATATTGTCAGAGCCTGCGCTTGGACACTGCCCAGTGAGAAAGGCCTTCCTTGGCCACTGCGTGTACTGACCACCTGGAATGTGGACGCTAGCTTAAGCCCTCTACTCTGTACCCTCCAGGCACGGAGGCTTGGTCACTGCCATTGCCTGTGCACGGCGGCGGGCTTCTCTCCCAGCACTCTCTGCCCCTCGTTCCCAACAGCCCAGAGTAGCAACAGCAGAACAAGAGCAGACCTTCGCCCTGTACTGCGTCCTCCAGAGACTGCAGGACCACAGGGAAAGCTGCCGGCGCTGGAGCTCAGAATCACTCCAACACCTTCATTTCCGTAATGTGCAAGGAGTTCCCGTGGGTCATGTGAGTGCCCATCCTGCATCTGGACTTCTTCTGTACGTGTTCTTGGTTCTGGACATACACACGTACATATCCACATGCTTGTGCGATAAATGAACACAAAATTTTCATGGGTTTTACTGGCACAAATTTTAGAAGAGAATTGAAAAAACTGCAACAAGAGTGACCTCACTCCCTCTGACCCTGCGAGAGTTTTCTCACTGTGTGTGTCGGTCATCAGTCCCTAAAGGTAGAGTGATCTGTGAGAAGCTTGCTGACAGGATGGTCCGTGTGACCCTGCCCATGGCTCCCCCACAACCCTGTACCTGTCCAAAAGTGGAGAAGAGGCACCACACAGGAGGGCAGACAGATCACTGCATCCACAGACATGCAGCTCGCCCTGTGCCACCGACCCTCTCTGATACAGATACCCTTCCCTTCTGGACAGCTGGAAGAACGCAGGGTCCCTGTGAGTATAGGCCTGGCCCTCGTGGCCCTTGCGTGCTAGGCTCTGGCTCTAGGTGGAATGCAGAGGGAAGTATTTGTTGACTGACAGATGGAATGCATGTGCGGACCTTCCAGTCTGGGTGTGAAGACAGGGGTCAGGAAAGCAGAAACCTGCTTGGGCCTCAGGACAGAAAAGATCCAGAAGGCCAGACGGGAGGGGGACCTGGGCTCAGCCAGGTTGGCTCAGCAGTTGTGGCTTGATGGGCGCCCCCTGCAGGTGGTGAGGAGAAGGCACGACACCCTCACCTCCAGGGCCTGTCTCCTGCAGGAGCCAATAGGCTGGCTGCCTCACATGAGCCTCTCACAGCCCTTTAGGGAAAGAGAGGAGGACAGAAACCTTTTATTGCTGAAAAAAAAAAAAAAAGAGAGAAGCCATGCAAGCTGCAGTCCTCCCCTTGAAATCCCACAGGATATAAGCTAGTTCTCAATCATGCAGAAAGGTAGGGTCCTGTGCACCTGACTGCAGGACAGGCATGGGCCCCCCAACTAGACCACCTCCACAGCACCCTCAGAGGACAAGAGCTCTTGAGAAGAAGGGAGCCCCAACCACTGTGAGCGCGGGGCATGCGGTCTTGAAGACCTCAGCGTGGCCGAGAGCACTGGCTGGGACTGGACTTGCACCGTCAGTGTGTGATCTCAGCCTCATTTTCCTCAGCTGTGAAATGGCACAATGCTTACTTTCCAGAGCAGGTGGTGGGCCCAGCTAGCACTGCCTGATGCTAGTACCTGCTCGGTGACAATGAGCACCCTCACCCAGGTGTAGCAGCACTGTGCTCTCAGCAAAGGAAGCTAGTCTCCACTCTGGTAGTATTCTTGTTCGCTTACCACTCTTTGCAGAATTGATCACTATAACTAACACACTGGCGCCATGCTGGGATATGTTACTGATCAGTCGGGGACAGCAGGAATGGACATGTTGGGATACAATACTGATCAGTCAGAGACAGCAGGAATGGCCGTGTTGGGATACAGTACTGATCTGTTGGGGATAGCAGGAATGAGCCGTTCAGCCTGCGGGCTCCAGGTCCCTAAGTGGACAAGAGCAGGAAACCTTTGGTCCTTACGAGGGGTTCTTGCAACCAGATGCGGATCAGCGTGGCCAGCGTGTAGTACATCACCAACAGCAGGATGGGGTTGGCGTGGTGGTACCAGGATAGCTCTGGGTTTACTACGATCTTCCAGGTACTGGAACAGTCCGTCTGGATTACTGATTTGATACCAAACAACCTGTTTAAAAACAAAAACAGTCACTTGAAAGCTGCAGAAAACTGTGTGTCCTTGACACAGGTCAACTCCTGCCGGTCTGGGTGCAGGACTGCACTGTTGCCCAGTAAGGTGTAGACGTGTCTGATGGGAGCTCATCATGAACCTCCTGAAATCCTGCCCGTGTATGCACAGACTGGATGCCAGCATCAGCTGGATGACCTTCACGTTGGTTCGAAAATCTGGCTATTACTGACCCTCACACGTCTTTTAGAATTTCACCTATTAATGGTTGACCAGCCCTATTAAAACTTGGCACTGTTGAAAGGCCAAGTGTGTGGTAAGAGGTTACTAAGTCCGACCACATGAGCAGATGACTTGTTTCTGGCTGGATTCAGCATTAGCTAGTCAGCTAGTGTTGATGTTATGAAGCAAATATTGAAACTGGATGTGGTCCTACAGTTCAGCAGTGAAAGTCAAATGTTACGTAGTAGAATTTCTGTAAGATGTATTTCTGTCCAATTTCATTTATGGGTTATTTGAATTTTTTCAAAGCTTGTAATTAATCATTTTCTTTGAAAGATGACTTTATGTGGCTTATTAAATTTTGAAATAGTTGATTTATTTATTTTTGCAGTACTGGAGATAGAACCCAAGAGGCTTTACCACTGGGCTACATCCTCAGCCCTTTGTATTTCTATTTAGATAAAGGGTCTCACTAAATTTTCCCGGCTGGCCTTGAACTTGTTATCCTCCTGTATCAGCCTCCTGAGTTGCTGGGATTACCTTGAACTTGTTATCCTCCTGCATCAGCCTCCTGAGTTGCTGGGATTACAGGTGTGCACCACCATGCCCAGCTTCAAATGGTTTATTTTTTAATGCTGATTTCTACTATGTAATCAAAATGTCTCTGGTTATATGATGAGAAAATGTGTAAAATATAATTTCTTTAGAAATTAATTTTGATGTACAGTTTTTCTAAGAGATGTTATTAAAAGCATAAACTTTTACAAGATAAATGTGTTTCTATTGTTTACATTTGTTATAATTAAACCTCCTTTAATTTTTACCTTGCATTCTGCGTTCAGTTACAAGACCTTCAAAGACTGCCTTTCAGCTTTAAAACTTCTCAGCACTCTCTGTTCCCTGTCGCAATGTGAGTGCAGCACTGCTTTGTTGGGCACACATTTTAAAGCGAGATAAACAGAAATTTAACTTTCTTCAATTTTATCAGAAAAAAATTAATTGCACTAGTACTTGGTTTTATTGTAGGTCTCTTTTCTGACATCCAGGAAGATTTTATGTAGGTAGCATTTGAAAGAAAGAAATGCATTGAAATGTTACCCCAAACTCCACAGTAAGTACATGTTAATCAAAAGCAAAATAAAATACATGTTGAAAAAGGAAAATTCCTGAGTCCACATAGAAGAGTGGAACGTCCCCAAATATTTTCCAACCCTATGTTTGTGTAAATTTCTGTATAAAGTACTCAGGAAGGAAAGATCTTACAATTCTTCCTGATGAGCTGGTTACCCCTTTTGAGCTAATTTAAGTGGAAGATTTTAGCTACCAAATCCCCACACCTGGCACATCAACGAGAAATGACCTCATTTAATCTCGACGAGAAATGACCTCATTTAATCTCGACTTTAAAATACCTGTTTTGCCCCATTAGAAATTTAACAGCAACTTTCCAAAGCTTCGGGTAAATGAATTCATGCGTCACATCAACATCTCACACCTGAGCAATGAGCAATGCTCTTGTAACTTCCTGTCCCTTTCCACACACACCCTGCAGAATGAGACTCATATCTGTGCTACCAGGTATGGACCTCAGCTGCAGCAGGAGCTACAGATGGCAGCTGTTGACTCCTGCAAGGAATCTGTTTCCAAGCAGAGAATGTGAACACTGTAAGGCCAGGGAATTCTCTTTCCTTCTTAAAAGACACTGGATATTGTAGAAAGGATTCCTATGGCAGATGGGAAATCTGTACTCGAGGGGTCACATCCTTGTGGCTCTGCAATTCTGGCACCTTCTGCAGTATCTAACTTTGATTAAATTTTCTAAGCCAGGATTGCATCTGGATGCTGACAGTGCAAAGAAAGTGGTTCCCCAGCACCTGTCCTGGGGACAGGCGGGCCCCCGCACTGCAAGGATGCGGAGTCAGCTCCTCCGACAGGTGTCAGGAAGCCTCCCCTGTGGGGTTGGGGACAGGCAATGGGAAAAGCAGCCTGAAAGAATATGGATGGGGGGGGGCAGTTGGTCCAAAAAGGTTAGATGAGGAGATGAGAAAGAAATTTGAAAGCCTTGGAGAGATTTTTCCAGGTAATGGGGCTGGGCTGGGGAGAGAGTGGGGAACTGAACTTGGTGAGATCAAAGTCTGTGTTACTGTTAAAGTGTCACTGAATGTCGTCAGCTCCATTCTATCTGAAAATACTCACATGGCTGCGAGGGTCTTCACAGCATCCTGGGCTAGCATTTAAACTGACTGAACGGAAGCACAGTCAGCCTCTCATATCTCTGCTTTCTGTATCCACGAATTCAACCGAACACACATCAAAAACGTTTGGAAAAATATTTTGTTTGCATTGCACACATGCTGACATTTTTACTTGTCATTATTCCCTAAACAATATAGTGTAGCCATTATCTGTACAGCATTCACTTTGTGTTAGACACTACTAGTAGTCCAGAGATGGCATAGCCATTTAAAATAAGGAACAAGCACCCATGGTTTGGGGTACCCATGGTGGGGGCGGGGCGGGTCCTGGAAACAACTCCACATAGCACTAAGGGATGACTTTGTCTTTAAAGTTTGTCCATCATGAAAAGCACTTAAAAACAATGATCTCAAATCTCTCTATAAGCGTCTCTTTGCCTGAGAAAAGATGGCAAAGCTACAGGATAGTGAATTCCCAACTGCTTATTTGGAAACAAAGCTTTTCTGCTCCTCTGGGAGATCTCTTACTTATCTCTCTTCCAAGCCTGGCTGTGTTGACTGTGTTTATGGGCACGTGTGTTAAGTGACTTGCCTGTTGGTGAAATCTAACAGGATCGAGGATGGAGGGTGTAAGAATTTGGACTTTTTTGAGAAGATGTTATGCTAACTACTGAAGATTCGGCCAACCCTACTGTTCCCCACAGTGGCTGAAGGCAGCTCCTGGGACACTCATTTCCTGGGGGAGACGGATGGGAGCCGTGGGGCAGGCCCACTTTGGTGGACCGCCTGCCTTTCTCTGCTGTCTCCCGATAGGTTGGGATTCCTTTCCACGGAAGGGGCTGCACTTCTCTTCTGGAAAAGCTCCAAGCCAAGCACATTCTCCCAGTCTCTGGTTTCTGTCCAGTCCTAGGGTGACCTTGCCAGAGTTCCCTCATGAGGCCCTGTGTGTGTGTGTGTGCTGGCTTCCTGTTCCTAAGCCTCCTCCTCCACGGCCTGGAGAGTCACCCCAAGTCCCAGTGAGTGCTCCCAAGGCCTTTGGCACTCAGGTGTCATCTTTTCCCAGATGTAAATCCGAGCTACACTGAACTATCCAGGTTTACCATACAATCCTTTTTCATTCTTTAAAGTATATTTTGGGTCATGTATGGTACATGTTTATCTTTGTTCTCTGCTGGCTGCATACAAGAATCTTGAATTCTATTTTCTGAATGAATCAACAACAACAAAAAAGTATATAGTTAAACATAATACTCTTTCTTCCTTTTTTTGTGGGGGTGGGGATGGATCCAGCACTCTCTCAGTGATGCAGGGCCTTCAAGGAGTCTGCGCCCCACAAAGTGCTGGCTTTCCCCTTTCCTCTGCCTCTGAGCACACATGGCGTCTGGCATCCCGTGGTGACTGAACTACGGGACATTTGTGCTACTCACACAGTTGGCAGATTTACAAAGCCTGCACCTGTGCTCAGGTTCCTCCCCGACTCCGTCTGCTGGGCTCTAGAAACACAGGAACCCAGACCTATGCAAGCAACATGTAATACCGAAACGGACACCACACGGTAAAAATAAGTTTAACTGTGGCAAAATGCATGTAAATTAAAACTGACCACTGTAACCAAGTATACTTTTAAGTATCTGACGTATGTATCCAGATCTCTCTCTTCATATATGTCACATAAATTGTCTAGAGAAAAACAAGTATATACCTAGATCAACCACACACAAAGTTTCAAGGCATATTTTAAATATTGTTTAACGTTTAGAATACTTTTATATTTATGGAAAAGTTGAAAATATAATCACAAAATCCCCTGTGCTCAGTGTCCCCTACTGTTGTCATCTTACTTTAGTATGGCACATTTGACAGAACAAACACACCAATCACAATACGTCATTTTTAACCACAGTCCATACTTGATTCAGATTTCCTTAGGTCTTATTTAATCCCCTTAGTTCATCTCAGAATTCCATTCCAAGGAACTGCACTGTTTAATCACCATGCACAGCGCTTATTTGTTGGCTGATTGACTTTTACCACTATGGATGCCTGGGTATGGACTTTACACCTTGGGCTTTTCTCCAATACTGCTTTATTATTTGGTCGTTCAGACTGTTCCAGCTATGACATTGGGAGCTCTCTCTGTTTGCTACTATGCTCATGTGAGAAGCCCCATCGTTTTGCTATTTTCTGGCTCTAGGAAACGTTCCAGGCTCATTCTGTAGATTCCCTGAACAAGCCCTAGGGTCGGCCTCCTTCCAATGGGTACCAGTGGAAGATGGTATTTAGAAACCAAGAGCTGGGCTGTCAGGGTGCTCAGTGTTGCTGGGGCCCACTGTTGCTTCTAAGTCCTCTGCTGAATGTGCAAGGCAGTACCTGTGCATATACACATATCTGAACATTTTCTGTGTCTCCTCCTGTAGTTGATGTTAAGAGATCATGGGATCATACTTAGGACTACAACTCCATCACCATCACGTTGTTCTAGCCTTCCCCTTTCTTATCTGTAGCCTTCCTCTGACATAGTGAGGAATCTGCCACCCCCATTGGCCACCTGCTTAATTATTTGTTCAATTTCACATACATAGA